AACCCACCTGGAGAAAAGTTGCACAATCCGTACGCTTTCCTGATGAACGAATGACTCATTCAATTAAAACTGACAGTTTTCCTCTTTCAGGCTCTGCTTTGCCAGAACAGTTAAGAGCTTCCTCCCAGGTTTCTTGGCTGTTTGGCCTGAGGAAGACGAAGAACCCATAAATTAATTGGGAATTTTGCTCTTCCTCCGCCCACCCCCTTGGAATATTTGGCTGTGTACTCCTTTCTCTGTGAGGAAAGCAGTCCTCATGACCAGCCCGAGAGTATCCTAAGGCCCACACGACCCTACCAACGTCTTTTGTAATGGATTTAAAAAAAAATAAATTAAAAAAAACAAGCCTTCCGGCAAGATCAGGAGGAGATGCTGTCATCTGGATGCCTAGAAATACCCCCCTCAGGAGCCATTTCTCATGAGCCGTGATATCCCTCTATTTTTTAGAAAAAAACTCTTTGCAGTGAACTGTGGCCGCAGCTGTTTGTCGCCAGTGATTGTGTGGTTTGACTTTCCAGGGATGCTACAGTTCGGATTTTTTTTTTCCTTGAGGGAGAGGACCATTTTTTTGACTTTGTGGTACGACACCCAAGGACATCAGGAAAACCCCAAAACATGGCCACAAAGGTCCACCTGGTTGCCTTCACCTTCCAAAGAGACATATCTGGAGGACTTCCTCAACAGGGTGTGGAGATAGCATCCCTTCTTATTGTTTTCTCATAATATATTCACAGGGAGATTGTGTCTAAAGCCAAAAGTACAATTTCTGTTGTTCGGTAAATAACCACAATAGATTTTTTTCCCTCCTGCAATCTTGTCAAATCTTTTAAAAAGCCATTTAAGATGGCGTCCATCTTGGAGCAGTGAATTCCACAGGCTAACTATACTTTGTGTGAAGCATTACTACATTTGGGCAGCCAGTATTTAAATCCAGAGCTTGGAAATAATGTGTTAACGGGCAAGCTGGAACCAGTGGCCATTTTAGGTAATGCGAACCTAGCAAAGTCACATTTCAAAGGTAATGTAACCAGTAGGAAGTATCTTTATGGACATAAGAGTTATGTTTGTGAATCAATTTCAGAACTTCCCATTAAAGAACACTTTTAGGCCTTGTTAGGCCTCTTTTGGCAAAAACTTTGAAAACTTCCTGCTGAATGTTTCAAAGTTTTCGCCAAAAGAGCAGTATAGGATAGAAATGTATAAGCGAATAGTGAGTTACCTTATCAGCTCCACAAGAAATAACAAATAGGCGATTGGGGAAGTGCTGTAACAAGTAGCAAGAATTTCTTTGTAGTACAGATATTGTTGTTTTGGTATACAGTACAAAGTTATAGGGGAGAAAAGACCTACCGGTCACCAAATAACTCCTACAGCATCTGAGCAGTCAAAATGCTAAGTAGGCTGGTGTTTGCCTCCAGATGACCAATCGGAAAGAAAGGAAGCTAACTGGCAAGCTGCAAGAGATGAGCTTATTGAGTTCTCATCAGAGGGCATTGAACACTCAAGGAAGCACCTCTTCTTGAAACAAGCTTCATCTGAGGTCTACTTCAACCCCTGGTTCAGTCTCATGTTTTCAAGCTGCTCTTGACCCCAGAAACCACCCATCCTGCTTTCTCACCAGCGATGGCTCTGTGATCTCAAGCAAGAGGCTTCTGGCACCTTTCTTGGCCAGCTAGTTAGCTGTAATTTGTCATTTCACCCTGCTCTACCGTTGGGTCAGGTTCATCTAGGGTGTTGTCCCATAATGAGACTGCAGGAGAGGGCTTGATGGAGGACCAGGGCTCTCCCAAAGTTAAAAAGTCTTGGATCAGAAATCCAGTTCTATGTGCCAAGAGAAGGAAATCAAAACTGCCGTATCAATTCAAGGTGCTGATCTTCTGCCCTTCCAGGAAAAATGCCAGAGGAGTATCTTGGCAGGAACAGCAAAACAGAATGGGTGAATAACTGGGGGGCGGGTGGAATTAATTCTGTGTAATTCTGTGTGTTAATTCTGTCTAGTTTGGGACAGAGAACGACTTCTCTCTGAGAGTGTGGACAAGTTACTTTTTCGATGGTTGCTCTGCCTGTCAACAACGGTGGGAGTTTATTTGTTTATTTATATAAAATATTTTTCCCTGCCATTACCCTGGCTTATATCATGAAAAGGCAATATTTAATGCTAAAACTAGTAAGCAAACAAATACTAAAAAGGATCCAGGAAGTAACTTCTCCAAACATAATGCATTTTGATCATTGCTTCTAAAGGTTTTCTGCAGTGCTAGCTGGATCCACAGATAATATAGTAGGACCCTAGTATCTGCAGGATCGCTATCCGCAGTTTCACTTATCTGCAGTCTAAAAATATTAAACAAAAAATCCCAGACAAACATATGTCCACGATGTCATTACCAGAACTGGTCACTGGATGGAGCCAGAGACCATGCTATATATAGTTTTCGCTGTTATCTGCAGTTTTTGACCTCCATAGGGCTAAATCTCCTGTGCATATGGGAGTCCTACTGCAGTGTGCCACACTCCTTTACGCCAGAAACTGGGATATTTGATGGCTACTAGGTCCAATTTCAGCCCTATAAATCCCACCAATTATATACATAGCAGCTGGAAGTAAATTCCATTTAATTGACTGGGCTATGCTTCTCAGTAGGCATGCATATAATTGCCCTGATGGATAAATTGTTGGATTTTGACCATGGAGAAGAGTCTGGGGTTCTCTAGCAAGCTTTGAAGTGTTGATCAAACCAGATGGTTACACTTAGTATGTATTTAGAGGAAGTGCTCCTTCAAAGGGTAAAAGATGTCTGTTCAGAATGGCCCATCATTTTCCTCTCCTTTGTGTATTGCATTTAGCATGCTTTGCTTAAGGATTGGTTACTGGAAGGCAAACATGCGCTTAATGCCCAAATCTGTTTGCCAAGAGACAGTCTCTGAGGGTTTCCTATTGTGGGAAGGGAATCTGGTTTAATGTAAGGAATATGCATGCTCCTTTTTGACTGGTTTGATCCTTAAAAGATGGCCTTCAGACTTACAGCCCAGGATCCTTGGAAGAAGAGGATAATAAATGAGGTACCCTTGAGCTTCTTCATAACAGAGTAGAATTTAAATATAGCAGAAAAATGTGTTGCCTCTTAGCAAGGATGGCTTCAAAGTTTTGGGGGAAAAATCCTCATCTCATAGCATCTTAGGGATATCCACAAGAGAGATGGATCATCCTGGTTGTCATCTAATGTGGAAATTGGAGAGAGACCAATCTTTATTTTGCCAGAGACGTCCCTCGAAGGTCTTGCTGGATAGCTGTGCTTCTTCTTGAAGATGGAGCTCCCTCCACTTTTCGTTAATATCATGCTAGGCCTCAGCAACATTGCAGTGCATCAATAACTGGAGCAATCCATGGCATGATACAGATACCTCACAGGGAATGGCACAACAGCAGAAGTCATAGCTTTAAAAGAATCAGAGCGGTTGAGGTGCTTCTGGGTCTCAACTACATTCAGAATTGTATACATCTGTTCTTACGTTTATCTCAGTGAATCGGAGAACCTAGCTGAGGAATTAAAGGTTGGGAGTTTGATTCCCGGCTAAGGCTCCAGAGAGAAGAGCCATTCTGTATAGCCTTGAGCAAGATGCACACTTTCAAAAAAAGGGAAAGGTTAAAGGTATAAAGTTAGTCCTAGCCCCTACACTGTCATGCTTTTCCCATGAAGCTCATTAAGAGGCCATGGAATGCAGCCAGAGCTAATGTGGCATTGTGGCTAGAGTGGTGGGCAGGTTTAGTCCCCAATAAAGGGACTGTGGGTTTGTCATCAACTGCAATCCTGTTGCGCAGTGGTGCAAAAGGCATACTTTCAGAGTTGGATTGCTGTGAGTTAAGAAACCTCCTTAGGCATCGTCTGTTGCCTGTCCAGTTATCCAGCTCAGGATGCAACAGATAATGCCTGCAAAGGTTTCTAAAGGTAGGGCAGTTCAAAGCCCAAAATTATGCATCTTTCATAAATAAGTGTGCAACAGGATTTGGGCCATTGCCTCACCGGGTTCTTATGAAGATAAAGAAGTGAGAGGAGACCCATGCGCTGTGCTTTGAGCTCACGGGGGGGGGGAAAGGGTGGGATATAAATGTAATAAATTAATTATTTCTACAAAGAAAAGTTATCATCTGGGACGGAGGCTTGGCAAAGGGGGAAACTACCGCCATAAAAAGGGAATATACCGTATTTTCCAGTAAACGTGTGTCAGAGGCTGATTCATTTTCCTGTCAAAATGTTGCATCATTATTCATCATTGTTATTTCCAAAATAAAAGATAACACATGGAAGTAGAAGGACTTTGCATGGAAGATTTGGCAGAATAAGAAGTGGCTCCATTAAGATTGAGGGAATCTGCCAGGGTTGATTTGACTCAGGCTGCTATCGTTTTACTGTATATTTCTTTCATTCTCATTTCCACATCAGACTGCAAATAAATCATTTTCTTTCTAATCTGAAGGAAGAACCGTATGTATTTCTGGATGCATTTTTCCAAGTGTGCAGGTTTTTGCATTTGTGTTTGACTTGGGTGGAAATCCCAGAGTAAGTCACAACTAGAGGAGTCTCACTGAATCAGCTGGGATTTGGTGAGTTGACTCCCCTGAAAGTGCCATTGATTTGCTTACTCTGTTTGTGATTTACAAGAGGGCCCCCTGTATCCACGGAATCGGTATCCGCAGTTTTCTTTATCTGTGATTTGAAAATATTAAAATTATTAGAGAACCCCCTTAGAAATATGTATTTTTTCAGTATGTATTTACAAAACTGGGTTCTAACAGGCTCATCCGGCACTTCCCCTCTCAGTTTTAAAGAAATTAGTAAATAAATGCTTGGCTACGTTTCCCTTTGTACAGCAAAACAAACAAAAAACAGAACAATATCTGATATCTTATTTTTAGGAAAAATTCATAAAGGTTGTTTTTCTATTGTGTTAAAAAATCAAACTTCAGTGCGCCGATGACTGGAACATTTCTTTTACAGGAGAGAAATGCCCACAGATGCAGAAGGAGGGTCTCCGGCTAGACCAGAGCAGTGAGGAATATGTAAATATAACTGGTGAGTGTCTTTGATATTTCTACCAGAGGAGCGGTCTTTGCTGGCTGTCAGTTATTTCTATTTTCAGAGGTTTGGGGCAGGACAGAGATGGACCTGAACCAGCCCTGTTGACCAACCTAACTGGATAGGCAGCATGAACTCCAGACTCTTGTTGCTTCTAGAACTAGTCTTCATTAGAGTAGATGAATGGGGTACAAGGATCAGTGAGGAGTCTGGCTCTTCCCATCTTGACAGTTCACTTGATTTGTGTGGGGCTCAGTTAGCCCTACTAGCCAACGATGTCCAAGCCCAAGTTCTGTTCACCCATCCTTGCTGAGGTGCAGAAGATAGATGGTGTGGAGGGGGCAGGCAAGAAGAATGTGGGATGTGGAAATAGCCATATTTGACATTAGAGATGACCCAGAAAGTTATATTCACTGGGTCAGGCCCAACAGAGATGTTTAAACAGATAGAACATTTCTTGATCAGAAGAAAGCTGTCTTTATTGTCATTTTGATAGTTGATTTCTATGATGCATTCCTGCTTTTGCTCAGTCTGTACTTAGGGAAATTCCACTTAGAGCTATAAAAGAGCAACTGTTTTGTTATCCAGTGAGAAAACACTTTACACGTATTTTGTGTGTTTCTATGTTTCCTCTATTTTCAAAAGTAATAAACATTTATTGTTCTGTTGCTGAGATTCATTCTGTGTTCCCAGCCAGCAAACGGATACAGGCTTGGCTGAAGGTCTACGTCTACCCAATTCATGGGAGGGGATTCTCTGAGACCTACCTCCCAACCTCCTCCTCTCAGTCTGAGAGTGATGAATTTTCCACCTCTTCCTTCACCTTCCCCACTGAGACATTGGTCCCCACCAACCCATCCTGGCTTCCGTTCTACTCTCTGTGTCTCACCTGCCTCCTTACTGCCATCTGGGACCCTATTCTTGCCCTTCTGCCTCCTCAGGCCAATCTGCTACCCGGGTCTCCATGAGGCCTGCCAGAAGGCACAGGTGTGAGGCAGATGGCCCACTGGGGAGAGCCAGAGCATCCCCCTCATAGTGGAACAGATTAGGCTAAGGGAAACAGATGACTCAACTTTCCCAGGGCTTGGAAATCCATCCCAGGTTTTAGCTGTGCTTTGCAGGAGCTATCCAAGTACTGAACCCAGTCTCCCAGAGAGCTTCAGCACCCTGGACAGAGGCTTTGAAGTCTGAGCTAAAACCAAGCTCCAATTCACTATCCCCATGAAATCAGAGCCCCTAGCCCTATGGGGCCCGTCCGACACCAAATCAAAGATCGTATAATCAATCAGAGAAATACACTTCAGCAACGGCTCCCAGTCTTGGTTCCCCAGATGTTCTTGGACTTCAACTCCCAGAAATCCTGGCCAGCATAGCTAGTGGTGAAGGCTTCTGGGTGTTTTAGTTCAAGAAACTCTGGGGACCCAAGGCGGGGCGCCACTGCCATAAGATGAAGCTTAGTTTGTACAGTGACCCTGCCTATGTAATGAGAAAACAGTAGCTGAGTAGATTTGGTAGCCGCGGTGGCAGAAGGTGCGCCAGGTTGAGGCTATTCACACCTGGTCCGCTCTCTTCGGTCTCTTTTTTTGCAGGATTTAATCTAATTAAAAGGTTTGCTCTCCTGAAGACATCAGCCGTTAAGAAAATTCGAAACACCCGAGGCCCAATGATCCTGAGACTGGGAAGCACCCCTCTGGTTCGCCCCACAAAGTAAGCATGCTTTTTCTACAATCTTAGATGCACTTGTCTTTATCATACAGTATACGCCTGTGAGTTCCTTTGTTACATTGACTTGTTTACCCCTGTCAATTTCCTGTCCCAGAGTCCAATTTTCTCTTGAAGGCCTGCAAGTGCTGGAGTGCTCCCCACCTCCCAAGGTCATTGATTCCCTTGTTCTACTGCTCTAACAGTTAAGAACTTTTTCCTGAGATTCAGCTGAAATCTGCCTTACTGTAACTTGAGCCTATTATTATGTTTCCTGCAACCTGTGATGATTGAGAACAGATCCTGCCCCTCCTCTGGTTGACAGCCTTTCCAGTATTTCAAAAGTGTTATCATATCACCCTTCTGTCTTCTTTTCTCAAGGTTAAACATGGCCAGTTCTTTCAGTCTGTCCTCATAGGGCTTGGTTTCCAGCCCCCGATCATCCTTGTTGGCCTCTTGTTCCAATTTGTGAGCGTCCTCCCTGAAGTGTGGTGTCCAAAACTAACCTGTGCCAGATAGAGGGGAACCAGACCCTCACAGGATTTGGAAACTATCCTTCTGTCAATGGAGCCTAAAATAGCATTTACCTTTTTTGTAGCCATGTCACACTGTTGGCTCCAATTCAGCTTGTGATCGACAGCATTTTTGTCTTTCGGCATCATTGAAAACTGTAGTTCAGAGAGAAATGATTGAGATCTCAAATAAGGAAATCTTGGTGTCTCGGTGTTACAATTACCAGCATTTTTGGGGGTCAATATAGTTAAAGAATTCATAGCAAAAGAAAATGTATATTTGGAGTGCGTGTGCACATGTCGAAGTCAAGAGACAGAAACACATATACCTCAAAGAAACACTGGCTGAAATTCTGTTGCTTAGTGTAGTAAACTGAACCTTGAGTAGGCTCATTGGATCCATAGACATTTAGTGAGTCAACTTTTCCTTATGTTTCATTGACTGCGTGGAATGCTGCTGTTATGATACTACACTCAAGCAATGAGATTTTGGCCACTGGGTCCTAGCAAATGGTAGACCTGAGATATTTCTAACCAGTTCCAGTCTAACCAGGTCAGAGCAGGGGGTTGGACTTGATGGCCTTACAGGTCCCTTCCATTATTCTATGATTCTGTGACCCTCACTGGACCTCAAAACCAGTGTGATGTCATCCACCTTGGACGGATGAGACACAGCTTCAAATACTCACTTCACCAGGAAACTCAGTGAGTGATCTTCGACCAACTCAACCTAACTCAGAGACTTACGTGAAGGATTAAACAGAGGAGAGGGGTGGAGAGAGAGGAATTGGCTTCCCAATCCATGGGGATGTGGGGTCATAAATATATTAGTCCTTCCAGCATAGACACCCTCATGGCATCTGTTCTGGAAAGGTACCAAACTGAGTCAAACAAGAAACACTACAAAGTTTCCCAAAGGAAGGGGGGTTTGGTGGGGTGGGGTGGAGAGGTAGATACAACCACAGGGTAAGACTTGAAAAGACATCTTCTTAGTCCTAGGATGTAAATCACAGCACAAACCCAACAAAGTTTAGGACGTGGTCCAAGACCTTACGCAATCGCCACTGCTCTCTGTGTGTGTTTTCTTTTCTCCACTGAAATTTGGCCTGCCGCCCGGCGGGTCTAGACTGGTGGATTGGAGGAGCTTAGGCTGTTTACTAGCCGGGCTTTGCTTTCATCCAGGCCCAGCAGCAATGCAAACAAGGCAGGGTTAGGAACGGATTCCTCTCTCCCACTGCCTCCTACCTCTGCTTGCCGGATGGCTCGTCTACACAAAGAGGAACGAGGGCAAAGTTGAAATATGTGACTACCGTTTTGGACCACAACTCCCAGAATGCAAGAGCCCACACGGCTGCTAGGCATGTTGGTAGGCAGAGATGGGAAATAGTAGTTAAAAAAGGAAAGGGACTCTTCCCCTCCCCCTTTCTATGCTCTGCATCTCCTCCCTATCTGAAATGCATGGTCTCTTCTCTGACATACTGAGTTGACATTGGGTACGTGCCCAGGTTTTCTTAGCAATGGGAATTTACTTTCAAAGAATCATAGAAGCACAGGATAATTGAGTTGGAAAGGGTCTTTAAGGCCATTGAGTCCAATCTCCTGCTCAATGCAAGAACCCAAGTCAAAGGAGATCAGACAGAAGGTTGTCCAATTTTCTGTTGAAGACCTCCAGCATTGGAGCCCTTACCACCTCCCGAGGTCTTTGGTTCCAGCTGTACTGCTCTAACATTTAGGAAGTTTTTCCTGATAAGAAGTGCAGCAATAGTTTCGAGGACTCCAAATACTACTTAGTTGTTACTTTGCTCTAATTTTTCGAAATAACTGCTCACATCCCCATTTCTCAAATTTGTATTACGTGGCTGTTTTCTAGCTAAGAAATCAAAAAGCTCCACGCCACTGTTCTTTGATATGAAATATCCTTCCATCCCCTAAATATGGTCATCATTATATGCCGTCAAGTCAACTCTGATTTACGGTGACCCTTTGAGATGCGCAACCTTTACACCCTTGCCTAGCAGCCATGGCTGCTTTTCACAGTCCTGAAGCTAGGCTGGAGACGAACAGACAGATCCTGCAACATTTATGAGGATTTATTTACTTATATTTGCATCATGCCTTTTCTCCAATGAGCCCAGTCGATACATGGCTCCCTCCCTCCCTACTTTATCCTCACAACAAACGTTCTTGTGGGGTTGGTCAAGTTGGAAAAGGGTGCCTGTCCCAGGGATGTCGTGACTCACTAGGAAAACAGAGCCTGGATTTCTTCTGTCCAGTATAAAAGCCTGTAAAGGAAGACTTGGCCTGGAGAAATCCAGCATCACATCTCCATGCTACTCTGCTACCCAGTTTTCCAACCCTCCATAAGTTGGTTGGGGACTAAGGTGGAGAAAGGATGCTGGGGAAAACTCTGGCAGAGCCGTGATTGAGCTTAACCCTAGAATGGACCTGAAATGAGAAGGGGAAAAGAATGGGAGCGAGGAAATAGAAATCTTTATTTATCTTTCCCTTTGCGCATCTGTTGATGTCAAAATGCTTCCTTTAAACCCCTCTGGGTTGCCGCCCTCTTCCCCACCACTGGCTCCTTTTATTGACCATTCTTAAGCAGCCTGTTTAAAAGACAGACGAGGCGGCTACGGCTTTTGGGAATAGGTGTGTTTGTTTAAACCCTTGGCTACTCCTGGGTCACTGCTTATGGGCTTCTTCTGTTGGTGCTTGTTTTTATTGGGATGATTCATGAGCCAAGCATGAGGACGCCCCTCTCTCCCCTGCAAATATATATATATCTCCATGGAAAAAATATGGAGAGAAGAGGGAAATGAGAAATGGATGAACCTGAAGCAGGTTTCCAACAAGACCGACAAATGAGATCAATTTACATGCGGGCGGAGGGCGGTGCCAAGGGCATTGCGGCCAAGATGCATTCGTTCAGGTCTCCTGCTTTAACAGGGTAAGAGAGCCTGAGATGAAGCTGCTTTGGGGGAGAGGGGTTTAGAGGCCCTTCGCCCACACGTTGATGAGGAAACCATCCGAAGGGTGATCTCTTTTGCAAACTGCTTATCCTAGTCAACCGCTGACAGGAACTGTAGAATCTGAGAGAGAATCCTAGATTCATGGAGTGGGAAGGGGCCCAAAAGGCCATCAAGTCCAACTCCCTGGTCAACACAAGAACCCAAGTCAAAGCAGATCCTGATGAATGGTTGTCCAGTTTTCTCTTGAAGGCCTCCAGTGTTGGAGCGCTCACCTCCTCCCGAGGTCATGGGTTCCCTTGTTGTACCGCTTTAACAGTTGAGGAGTTTTTCCTGGGATTCAACCAAAAGCTGGCTTCCTGTCGCTTTAGCTCATTATTATATGTTCTGAACTCTGGGATGATGGAAAACAGATCATGCTCCTCCTCTGTGGAACAGGTGCAAGGTCTACACTCAGGGTGGGTGGAGTTTCAGCATCCTCTTCCTCCTTAGATCAACTTAGAACTGCAGAGCTAGAAGGGACACCATGGGTCATCAAGTCCAGCCCCTCTCAAAGAGGCCTGGGGGGGGGGAAATCGAACCCCCAAGCTCTGGCTTTGCAGACAGACCAATCCGCTGAGCCACTCAGCTGTCCTCCCAGCATCCATTGTTTATGCCCTCAGTATTTCAGGACCCTGGGCCAAAGTCTCAGGTGTCCTGCCCTACTTACAGTTCTTCTGATAATCTGGCATGAGTGAAAAAACAGAATGGGATACGCCGTGTCTAATTTAGAACAGGCTGAGCGAAATGCCGCCCACCGGACGTGCTGCTTGGCCTGGCAGATACTGGACTGCTGCCCTTGCTTTTGGAGTCTGGGGCAGAAGACAAAAATACAACTTTTCCCATCCAGCCCCTGGCAAAGGATGAGAAGATTTTCCCCTCTCCTGCGCCTTTATTGTTCCCCTGGTTGGCTTTGCCCCTGCACGCCGCTCCTCCTGCGCATTGGTTGAAGTCGGAGAGTAACTAAAATCAGTTCCAGACATCATGGGTGGTTTAGCTTTGCTTTCAGTCCTTTTGTTTCTACGTGCCTCTCCCCTTCTGAATTCAGGGATGACCAAAATGGCCGTGGAAGATGGGGAAAATCTGGAAGCGGTGGTCCCAGAAGTAACTTTTCCATCTCTGTCTTAATGATGCCCCTCTTATGCCCCCTGCTAGCACCTGACAGGAGAGAAACAGGGATGTGATCTGATCTTAATTTCATTAGGATGCTCTTCGTGAGATCTCTTGCTGGCAAATGCCTGTGTTCCTGTACATTGTTTGGCAAAATCTTGATTTTACCAGAGGTGCTGTCATGGAAAATTTGATTTATGTGTTAAAACATGTTTTTTCCCCAAAACTTTACTCTTCCATTGGGAGAGACTCGACAGAACACGGGGGTGGGGTGTGGGGTGGGGGAACAAAGTTCATACTTTGGACATCTCATGAGAAGAGAAGATTCCCTGGAAAAGACCCTGATGTTGGGAAAGTGTGAAGGCAAGAGGAGAAGAAGGGGAGGACAGAGGATGAGATGGTTGGACAGGGTCATTGAAGCGACCAGCATGAATTTGACCCAACTCTGGGAGGCAGTGGAAGACAGGAGGTCCTGGCGTGCTCTGGTCCATGGCGTCGCGAAGAGTCGGACACGGCTAAACGAATAAACAACAAAAAACCACTGAGTTACCCAGAAATTCTTACTAATGGATTTGCATGAAGGCTCCCAGTCATTCAGGACTCCAGAGTCCATGAGGGGAGGCAGTGGGATTCAGTGCTTGGAAACTGGGAACAGCCTGATTTTGGCAAGTGAATTCTGAGTTTTCCAAGCCTTGACTAAGAAGTTAAAACTCCAAGGGCCCTCCATCAGCTCTCTGCCTGTTTGCCAAGACTGTGTGATGCCTGGGGAAGTCTGTAGTGGAAAAGATCGGAATTGGAATAAATATCTGGTAGTGATTAAACCCCCAAAGGGGTCATCACCGATGGACCATGTTGCAATCGAGCGACGAATTCCACAGACGAAACTGATACTCGCTCAGCTTCGCTTCCAGCGCTCCTCATTCTGTCTGGTCTGGATGTGTTTTTAATGTCCAGAGAAATGAGCACAGATGTTAGTGGCTGCCGTTGCTACTGGAGGAACAGGGTCAAAAAAGAGAGAGAGAGGAAAATGGAATAAAAAAAGGCCAATGCTGGAATGATTTCTACATTCTGGTCCCACCATGAAATCATTAGAGTAATTTTTTTAAAAAAATAAAATTGTTTGTGTTACGGAATCAAGTTGAGAAAGGAGATATTTCTAAATGGCTTTCAGGGTTGCCAGCTTTCCTTCCTGGCAGAGCTTCTGTGTTATTGAGCATGTGCAGAATGCGCCTCCTTGGGGTCGAGCAAAGTCGAAACCTATCCCGCTGAAGGCGTGATGAATCGGCTGTCCCAAGCTAGGGGGATTGGAGGCTTCTTAGGGTCCCTTTCACCTCAGCCTAAAGATGTACCGACACGTAAGTGGTCCCGTGGCATGGACTTGCCGTGGCTTCCTTCCTCTTTGCTGTCTCCCGTCTCTGCCTCTTTCGTGGTTCATCGTGGATGGCAATGCCCGCATAAGTGATTCTCCTGGCTGATCTCAGGCAGTGATGTGTTAAGGAATCTGCTGGCGAAGTGTGTGTTTTCTAAGGCCCGTGCATTCCTTGCACCTTTGCACAGGTGTGATTACTGAGGCTCTCCATACTTGGTGGCCTGTGGAAGGGAGCCTCACATCTCTCCCCGGCTCTTTTCTCCCAGACAGCTGTTCCCCCATGGCTTGCCGGAGGAGTTCACCATGGTGATCACCCTCCTCCTGAAGAAACAGACCACCAAAGAGAATTGGTACCTCTTCCAAGTGACTGATCGCCAAGGATACCCTCAGGTACTCATCCAACTTGTGTGGCTGGTCCCTTCCATGGCCACCATGCCCCTTCTCTTCTAGCATCATCCTCTTCTTTCCACTGAGTCCCACCCCTCCACCTGTTTCCTGCCCACCTTCCTCAACTCCAACCTTAACCAGCAAGGCATATTATTCCGTAAGCAAGGGCCCCCTGTTTCCTGCATCAAGAAAACCAGTCTGTCCAATCCCACTTAGGTATCTCTAAGTACCTCCCTGAAATAGAAATCGGACGCTTCTGTAGGATAGGGGTTCCCAACCTTGAATCCTTAGGGTTCTTGGACTACAACTTTCAGAAATCCTGGTCTGCACGGCTAGTGGCAAAGTCTTCTGGGAGTTTTAGTCCAAGAACATCTGGGGACCCAAGGTTGGGTACCTCTGCCATAGGACGAAGCCATGGCCATTGCGGTGGTTATGAACAGCTCTAATTGTGTGAATATTCAGCGGCCAATGCTTGAAGTTTACACATATTTTAGTCATGAACAATTATAAACATTATACAGGATATCCTGAGCTTGTACATTTCTTAAAAGGAAGTGAACAATAACATCGTACTTGGAAGACCATCCTAGAGTCACTGGAAAACTCATTTGCAATGGAAAAGCACTCCTTTTCTTATTTTGGAAAACTGCTTAAAGCTTGGCCTTTTCCAAGGTGATTTAGGCTCATCTGCAGTATCTCAGATGTGACTCTGCTTGCTCATTCCTCCAGCAGCCGTGTCAGAAAACAAGATGATCACATTTCATGACCCGCTGAGTCATTTATGAGGCTATGAGAACGATCTTTTAACTATGCTCCTCATTGTTTGGGTAACTCATAGGTAGCTCAAACAAGCAGTGTTTCGTGGTATGACAAAGAAGCAATTGTGTGGCGTGAACAGATGTTGTGGACCACTTGATTCCACCACTTTCTAAGGGTCAGCCACAAAGTCTAAATCAAATAAAACCAACACTTTCCTCAACTTATTATGGACCAAGAAAACCTCCCCTCCTATTCTCCATCTCTGTTTATTGCACTGTCTTCCTCCTCCTGCTTCTCTCTTTCCTCTTATGCCGTTCCTTTCTGCCTTTCTTTCTAGAAAGTTCTCTTAGTCAGCACCGTCTCCTCTCACCCCTTCAGCTCTTCCTGGGGATCAACAGCAAAGAGCGAAGTCTCGAGTTTCAGGCCAAGGGTCAGGATGGGGACTTTGTCAGTGCCATCTTCACCGGCAAAGGGGTGGCCTCGCTTTTCGACTTGAAGTGGCACAAGATGGTGCTCAGCGTCCAAAGCCAGGTGATTTCGGTCCACATTGACTGCAGCTACATCTCTTCGAAGCCACTGCAGCTCCGGAAGCCTTTGGTCACCGAAGGCAACGCCTTCATAGGTCTGGATGCTGTGAATGGCGCTCCTGTCTGGGTGAGTCATGATTAGAGAGTTTAAATCTTAGCTCTGTTGACCTTGGTGTGTGAAACAGGACAATTAATAAATAAACAAAGCATACTTCTCTACACAAAATGGTAGGGGATTGTTTCGTCCATCTTGTCAGAGAATTTGCACATTTTTAGAACTGGTGGGGTTTTTTGTTTCGTTTTTTGGCTCATTTCTGCAAAAAAAAAAATTCTCCTGCCTGAACTGTCAGCCAGTGGTGTTGGAGATTTTTGGTAACTAAAGAGTTCCTCCTTCCGTCCTGGGGCTCCCACAGCTCATGCACAATGAGACTGCTTACGCGCAAGTCAGACATCTGTGGGACAAAAACAAGAGCTCCTTAATGACTGAAAAAATCTTCTCCTGCTGGTGAAATCATCACATTTTTGCAGGTATAATTTACATAATAATATTTGGGCCATGATGTTTAGAAGCAAAAGGAAAAAAAGAAGACGCCATGTCAGTTTCCATGATCCAACTCTGAAGTCATTTGAGCTGTTCAGGCCATGTGTCAATAATAGCAACCTAAGCTATTGCGTGAGATCAAAAAGTGGTCTGGGAGTCACCCATGGGTTTCCCTGATCTTCAGCATCTCAAAATAGAGGTGGATGTAGTGATGATGTCCAAGTGCTGGTCCTCATCCTGTAACCAGGATGCCAGTTGTTAAAAGGTGACACCTGATACCTTTGGTGATGCCGAATGATGAAAGTCAATGATAAACAGAATTGGTGCCTTGAAGTACCAGGACAACTGGAGAGAGATTTGCATTTCATTTGTTCCAACATTGACAACAACAACAACAGTCTTAGAACTACGGAGTTGGAAGGGACCCTCTGGATCATCAAGTCCAACCCCTGTCAAGGAGGCCCAGTGGGGGAAATCAAACTCCTGTTTGGCTACGGCCCTTTATCCCCAGAACCCGATCAACCAAAATTGTAGAATCCTAGAATCATGGAATTGGAAGGGGGCCTCTAAGGCCATCACGTCCAACCCCCTGCTCAAGGCAAGAATCCAAATCAAAGCAGATCTGGCAGAAGGTTCTCCAGTTTTCTCTTGAATGCCTCCAACTTTGGAGCACTCACCACCTCCCAAGCTCATGCTTGCCATTGTCCTACTGCTCTAACAGTCAGGAAGTTTTCCCTGAGATTCAGCCTGAATCTGGCTTTCTGTAACTTGAGCCCATTTTTGCCATTGCCCTACTGCTCTAACAGTCAAGAAGTTTTCCCTGAGATTCAGCCTGAATCTGGCTTTCTGTAACTTGAGCCCATTGTTGAGCATCCTGCACTCTGGATTGATTGTAGGACTACCTTTCAAGTACAGTATTACTCGCTAGACAGTTACCCCGCATGACAGTTTTTTCACTAGACATTGACTTTTTGCGATCACTATAGCGATTCGCAAAACAGTGATTCCTATGGGGGAATTTCTCTGGACAATGTTTGGTCCCTGCTTCGCAAACCAATTTTCGCTAGACAACAATTTGCTTTTCGCTAGACAATGATTTCGCTAAACAGCGATTTCAGTGGAACGGATTATCATCGTCTAGCGAGGCACCACTGTATTTGAAAAGTGCTCTCCTATCTCCCCTCATTAGTCTTCTTTTCTCAAGACTTAACATGCCCAGTTCCTTCAGTCTTACCTCCTTATAGGGCTTGGTTTCCGGCCTTGTTGCCCTCCTCGGAATTTGTTCCAGTTCGTCAGCATCCTTGTAGTCACACAGATGTGAATTTTTCATTTCTACTCTGTAACTGAAGGTTTCTTTTGTCTGCAGTTTGATATTCAGCAGCTGCACATTTACTGCGACCCAGCCATGGCCATGCATGAAGGATGCTGCGAGATCTCTGATAACGGGGTGAGTAATACTGGGCCTAGGCAAGACCTGTCACTTTTATTTATGGCTGCGTTTCTGCATTTTCTCATCTTGGAATTGTGTAACCAGGGCGTGCACCCCATAACAAAAAAATAAATCCCCATCCTACACGATTTGTCCAGAGTGAAAATAAATTCCATCTGTGGGTTGACCATTTCTTAGTATCTGTAGCTGTACATCATCATGTTTTCCATTCAGAGCCACTGGCCCTCATTTATAGGAAAAGAGATCTAAATCAGTTTTGCAAAACATATGCAATTGTTTTAAATGTGCCACCACCTGCACCCCGAATCTGGGCATCTGATGATAGTTTTTGCAAGCCTGCTGTATGCTTAGAATGATTACTAGGTTTCACTTCACAATCAGATCATCGTGATAATTACAGGTAGCGACTAGCGTGAAATGAACCACAAAACCTAAAAACCTGACGAATTGGGCTGATTTGTAGTTCGTTTCATGACCTGCGCTGGATGCTTAGAATCATTACCTGAAACAGTGACTCTAGGTTTCACTTCACAATCAGATCATTGTGATAATTGCAAGTAGCGACTAGCGTGAAATGAACCACGAGACCTAAAAACCTGACGAATCGGGCTGATTTGTAGTTCGTTTCATGACCTGGTTCGGAGACCTCGTTTTGTGGCGTGAAATGCTGAACGTTTTTCCCTCCAGTGTTTTGTTTGCTGCCAAAAGGGGGTGCCTGCCCATTCATTCATTCATTCATTCATTCATTCATTCATTCATTCATTCATTCATTCATTCCATTTATACCCCGCCTATCTGGTCGTTGTGACCACACTACGCGGCCCATTCCCTTCACACCACGTCCATCACCTCCACCTACCTCCTGCCCCTGCTTCCTCCTCCTCCTCTTCCTCTCTGCCAGGATCCTGCCACTGCCTCTGAGCATACACCTGTGGTGGCAGTGGCCGAGGGGGCAGGAGGAGGCCAGGCTCCCTTCAGGCACAAACAGGAAAAATTAACTGCAAACTGTTTTTTTCTCTCCTTTCCTTTTCTGGGGGTTTCTGTGGTTAACCACAAACCATTGTGAATCACCGGTTTGCCAGTCTGTGCTCCCCTCTACTTGTGAGAAACGAAGGGAAAACGTCCCACCCTGCCTTTGCTCAAGGAATGTTGCCTGGAGCGTAGCAGAAACGAATCAGCCCGTTTGCAATCTGTGGTCTTTCATCTCCAAGTCCAAGACTGGGCTGGCGGATGAATGGTGGATTCGTTTCCTCTCCAAAATTCTTTCCTCTCTTTCCACAGTGCTTTCCTGAGGCTTCCAAAATGCGCCGGGATGTGGAAATTATGCAAAGCAACGACTTGATAGAAATCAACCCCCAGACGGAAGGCAAAGTCTACACCCGTTGCTTCTGCCTGGAGGAGACCCAAAGCAAGCAGGTGAGAAAACCCAAGCAGCAGAACGATCTGGTGTAGCAGTCAGCTATGAGCCAGAAAGCCCTGGGTTCAAATCCTACCTCTATTGGTGATGAAGAAGACAAAGGTCTTAGCTTCCCACCCTTAATAAGAGTGGAAAAAATACTAACTTACCTTCCAGAGGCACAGCAAGATAAAATATGGGCTATATCTTCAAGTGTCTATGTCGATCTGGGCACGGCCTCTTTTATATCTCAGGATATAAAATATTGGCTGAAATCCTGTTTTGCTGTGGTGATGACATCATCATCAGGGGCAAACTGCTGCTGATTCAATGCTTCTTTTGATGATTTTGTGATGCATGTGAGTTCATTGCATTGTGTCTGCGTTCTCTGAATGTCCCACTTGCTATATTATATTACAGTATATTATTTAATTCTCTTTAAATATTTGAATAACTGACTGTGTTTAGCTTTTAATTTTGTGTTTTTGCTGATAGAAGCCCCTTTGTGTCTTTGATGTAAGCCGCCTTGGGTTCGGCGGTTCGTGCTGGTTCATTTATTGGACGAACTGGTGTTCGGTGCTTCAAAGCCCCGCCTCCTTGGGAAGGCACCCACTCGGTGGGCGTGGCCTGCCTTCCTTGCCCCGCCTCCTCCAGGCACAGCCCCCTCTGAGTGGGCGCCCACAAGAGGAATCAGGGCTTTAAAGCGCCAAACACGTTTATTGTTCGGACAATAAATGAACTGGCACAAGCCACCCAACTCTGCCCGTCTCTGCCCCGGCGCTCACATGTAACATAGTTACCTGTAACTACTTCCTTTTATATTTTGGGTCATGAGGAATGTAACTAAGACTTGCAAGGTTGTAAAAAAGGACAACTAATTACTTTCAAAAGTTACTTTTGAGGTATTTTAAGGTAATTTTAGGCCAAAATGTTTTCAAGTATTACACCACCCTCTTAGCAACCCTATTCTTTTGGGGTTTTTTGTCTTTTGCATCATTTGTGATATTTACGATGGGCTTTCCCTGGATTTTTCTCGCCTGTTAGCAAATGTTAACAATGCAGAAGTGATTAATTCCTTGCACAGTCAGTGCAACAAATGGTTATGTCACTGCCACACGGTCCTGAGTTATTTGGGCAGGTCTAGACTTACCGCCTGCTCTTTCCTCCACTACTGCAGTTTGGTGAAAAGGCTAAGGAAGAGCAAGAGAAAGGGAGAGACCATGGCTGGTTGGAATTAAAGGCAATCATCTGTTCATTTTTTTTTCAGGGAACACAGTTGTGACCAATTTAAAGATTTTGGGTTTTTTGCTGTCTTACTAAGAAGAAAAGTAGCTCATGAAAGTAAGAGAGAAAGAGAGAGAGAGAACGAGAAAGGGCTTTCAATCCAGACCTTCCAAAACCAACATTGGCTATTGACCCAGTTGTGCACTGACATGATGGGAGAAATAAAGAATACAGTACTCCGAGAGATGATGGAAATACACCTGGTTCACCAAACATAATTCCACAAGAGGCCTACATCTTGGGGGAGGGGGTACTTTATTGCTTTGTAATCGCTTGCTGTACAGAGAAGTAGTAAGAATAATTTGAAACTGTTCTGTAGAAGAAGTAGAGAAAAGATAATATAAAACAAGTCCCAGTATTGATTTTTAGGAGAGAAAAAAATGCAGCAGAAGTAAGCAACACTTGAACACCCTCGGAAGCCTCATTAAATAACCAAGTTTCTACCTGTTTTTGAAAGCTGAGCATCGCATTTATGAGACCCATTAAAATACATGGCCAGGCTGAGGGTATTCAAAGAGGGCGAGCTGGCTTGAGTTATCCGAAGGACGGCTAAGCACTGGATTCGCACAAATCTTGAATCTCAAAAGAATGCATCCTCATTTGGAGTGATTCCTAGGAAGTCCAGATCAAAGCAGAATGCCCAGATTTTGTTACAAGGTGAGGCAAATTTACAAATTGATTCAGGTGCAAGGGCACATGTTGCTTCTATTTCTTTAGAAGCAACGTCTAAAGGTGTCTAGCGTGCAGACCAATGGAGCTTAAAATGCCTGAAATTTGGCAGGTTTACTCCCCTCTTTAGGATGTATCTCAACACCACATTTTGTGACTATAGGTAGAAAGCCAAAAGGGTTATAGGTTGACTTAACAAATTTACAAATTGATGGAAGTTCTCAGGCACAGATGGCTCTGGAACAAATCGGGGTGCATTTTGAGCCCCTCAGTTGGCCCTCAGGTTGAATTGGGAAACCCACGTGCAGTTCTGTCGCCGGCCGGCCACGGAGCGAAGAATGCCAAGAGAAAAGAGGAGTCACGGAGAAGGACCTTAGGCCTTGGTGTCTCCAGAATCCCTCTTTCTGGGCACGAAGGTGGATGGATGAATTCAGGAGAGCGCAGGATGAGAATCTGCAGTAGCTATAGCTCAATGAACCAGAGGCTGAGAGTTCGATCCCCCACTTTGCCTCCTATGAGAAGATCCAGCCTGGGTAGCCTTGGGCAAGCTGCACAGTCCCAGGAAGAAGGGACTGGGAAACCACTTCTGAGTATCCTCTACCTTGGAAACCCTGTGAAAGGTTGCTATAAGTCAACATTGAGTTGACAACATGCAATTCCTCCTCCTCTTCTTCTTAAGGTAGATCGTGATGGCGTCTCTTTGGTGGGGAACGCGTGTAACTGGCAGTAACAGAACAAAGTAGCAGACTGTTCTTACGGAGGCTACATCTGATTGGCAAAGTCAAACACAGCCTTCCTCAAACTAATGTTCTCCAGATGCTTTTTCTTACAAGTCCTACTGAGCCCAGACAGCATGGCTGATGTCCAGCTCCCTAAGAAACCGAACAACAGAAGAACATGTCAAGGGAATAACATATCAGGTTGCAGTCCTAATTGTGAGTTTTGCTGTACCAGTTGGAGACCAGCAATGTCCCATTGAATCCAACTGCCAACAACACCAGGGTGTAGCCCAGGTTGGCAGGTCTTGGGGCCACATCGAGATCTACAGTCCCACCAGGGATATGCTTGCATGGAAGCCACAGCCTAAAAACATGTGGAGGACAAGATGGGAAGGGATGGCCTAAGAGGTAGTAAAGAACTGGATCCCTCCTCAACATCTACATCTACAGTATGTTGGGTATCCCACGGCACCTCACCAATCCTGAGGGTTGCCTTCTATGTGCCACTCCTGGCCTCTCAGAGTCATGGAACATGGGGAGGATGGATACGGCTGCCTGCCTGCAACCCTGAAATGGTCCCATCCAGAATGCTATTGCATCTTACCAAAACTGTATAAGCACAAGGCTGTGTTAAAGTCTTACACCTTCCACATCAACCCTGGGCTTTCCAAAATGAGGACTTGGCCCACGCGCCCAAAGGACAAGGTGAAGACTGAGGAGACCGGTTGGAGTAGGGGCCAATTGACAGTTGGTTGGCAAATCTACAAAGTTACATACAGAAAGGCCAAAGAAAATGTACGGATTGGAACCCACCTGAATCACATTCCTCAAAGTGTAGTTCAAATATGCCAAAGTACACATCTAAACATATAACGAACTGGTGTTCGGTGCTTCATAACCCCGCCTCCTTGGGAAGGCACCCACTCGGGGGGCATGGCCTGCCTTCCCTGCCTCGCCTCCTCCAGGCGCAGCTCCCCTTTGAGTGGGCGCCCACCAGGGGAAGCAGGGCTTTGAAGCCCCAAATCCCTGTTCGGGCAATAAACGAACTGGCACAAGCCACCCAATTCTGCCCGTTTCTGCCCCGGCGCTCACATGTAACATAGTTACCTGTAACTACTTCCTTTTATATTTTGGGTCATGAGGAATGTAACTAAGACTTGCAAGGTTGCTTTTCAAGTGTAACAAAGAACACCCAGTTACTTTCAAAAGTTACTTTTGAGGTGTTTTAAGGTAATTTTAGGCCAAAATGTTTTTGAGTATTACGCCACCCTCTCAGCGACCTTATTCTTTTTGGGTTTTTTGGGGTTTTTGCATTATTTGTGATTTTTACAATGGGCTTTCCCTGGATTTTTCTCACCTGTTAGCAAGTGTTAACAATGCAGAAGTGATTAATTCCTAGCACAGTCAGTACAACTCATGGTTATGTCACTGCCACACTTAAATGTTGGGTCCTGAGTTATTTGGGCAGGTCTAGATTCACTGTCTAGGGACGTGGTGGCGCTGCGGGCTAAACCGCAGAAGCCTCTGTGCTGCAAGGTCAGAAGACCAGCAGTCGTAAGATCGAATCCACGCAACGGAGTGAGCTCCCGTCGCTTGTCCCAGCTCCCGCCAACCTAGCGGTTCGAAAGCATGCAAATGCGAGTAGATAAATAGGGACCACCTCGGTGGGAAAGTAACAGCGTTCCGTGTCTAAGTCGCACTGGCCATGTGACCACGGAAGATTGTCTTCGGACAAAACGCAGGCTCTATGGCTTGGAAACGGGGATGAGCACCGCCCCCTAGAGTCGAACACGACTGAACAAAAATTGTCAAGGGGAACCTTTACCTTTACCTTTACCTAGATTCACTGTCTGCTGTTTCCTCCATTACTGCAGTTTGGGGAATAGGCTAAGGAAGAGAGAGAGAAAGGGAGAGACCATGGCTGGATGGAATTACAGTAAAGGCAATCATCTGTTCATTTTTTGGGGGAACACAGTTGTGACCAATTTAAAGAATTTGGGTTTTTTGCTGTCTGACTGAGAAGAAAAGTATCTCGTGAAAGTAAGAGAAAGACAGAGAGAGAGAGAGAAGGTTTTCAATCCAGACCTTCCAAAACCAACACCGGCTATTGACCCAGTTGTGCACTGACATGATGGGAGAAATAAAGAATACTCCGAGAGATGATGGAAATACACCTGGCTCACCAAACATAATTCCACAAGAGGCCTACATCTTTTGGGGAGGGGGGACTTTATTGCTTTGTAATCACTTGCTGTACAGAGAAGTAGTAAGAATAATTTGAAACTGTTCTGTAGAAGAACCAGAACTGGAGAAAAGATAATATAAAACAAGTCCCAGTATTGATTTTCAGGAGACAAAAAAAAAATGCAACAGCAGTAAGCAAAACTCGAACACCCTCAGAAGCCTCATTAAATAACCAAGTTTCTACCTGTTTTTGAAAGCTGAGCATCGCATTTATGAGACCCATTAAAATAAATGGCCAGGCTGAGGGTATTCAAAGAGGGCGAGCTGGCTTGAGTTATCCGAAGGACGGCTAAGCACTGGATTCGCACAAATCTTGAATCTCAAAAGAATGCATCCTCATTTGGAGTGATTCCTAGGAAGTCCAGATCAAAGCAGAATGCCCAGATTTTGTTACAGGGCGAGGCACATTTACGAATTGATTCAGGTGCAAGGGCACACGTTGCCTCTATTTCTTTAGAAGCAACGTTTAAAGGTGTCTAGCATGCAGACCAATGGAGCTTAAAATGCCTGAAATTTGGCAGGTTTACTCCCCTCTTTAGGATGTATCTCAACACCACATTTCGTGACTATAGGTAGAAAGCCAAAAGGGTTATAGGTTGACTTAACAAATTTACAAATTGATGGAAGTTCTCAGGCACAGATGGCTCTGGAACAAATCGGGGTGCATTTTGAGCCCCTCAGTTGGCCCTCAGGTTGAATTGGGAAACCCACGTGCAGTTCTGTCGCCGGCCGGCCACGGAGCGAAGAATGCCAAGAGAAAAGAGGAGTCACGGAGAAGGACCTTAGGCCTTGGTGTCTCCAGAATCCCTCTTTCTGGGCACGAAGGTGGATGGATGAATTCAGGAGAGCGCAGGATGAGAATCTGCAGTAGCTATAGCTCAATGAACCAGAGGCTGAGAGTTCGATCCCCCACTTTGCCTCCTATGAGAAGATCCAGCCTGGGTAGCCTTGGGCAAGCTGCACAGTCCCAGGAAGAAGGGACTGGGAAACCACTTCTGAGTATCCTCTACCTTGGAAACCCTGGGAAAGGTTGCTATAAGTCAACATTGAGTTGACAACATGCAATTCCTCCTCCTCTTCTTCTTAAGGTAGATCGTGATGGCGTCTCTTTGGTGGGGAACGCGTGTAACTGGCAGTAACAGAACAAAGTAGCAGACTGTTCTTACGGAGGCTACATCTGATTGGCAAAGTCAAACACAGCCTTCCTCAAACTAATGTTCTCCAGATGCTTTTTCTTACAAGTCCTACTGAGCCCAGACAGCATGGCTGATGTCCAGCTCCCTAAGAAACCGAACAACAGAAGAACATGTCAAGGGAATAACATATCAGGTTGCAGTCCTAATTGTGAGTTTTGCTGTACCAGTTGGAGACCAGCAATGTCCCATTGAATCCAACTGCCAACAACACCAGGGTGTAGCCCAGGTTGGCAGGTCTTGGGGCCACATCGAGATCTACAGTCCCACCAGGGATATGCTTGCATGGAAGCCACAGCCTAAAAACATGTGGAGGACAAGATGGGAAGGGATGGCCTAAGAGGTAGTAAAGAACTGGATCCCTCCTCAACATCTACATCTACAGTATGTTGGGTATCCCACGGCACCTCACCAATCCTGAGGGTTGCCTTCTATGTGCCACTCCTGGCCTCTCAGAGTCATGAAACATGGGGAGGATGCAACCCTGAAATGGTCCCATCCAGAATGCTATTGCATCTTACCAAAACTGTATAAGCACAAGGCTGTGTTAAAGTCTTACACCTTCCACATCAACCCTGGGCTTTCCAAAACAAGTACTTGGCCCACGCGCCCAATGGACAAGGGGAAGACTGAGGAGAGTAGGGGCCAATTGACAGTCGGTTGACAAATCTACAAAGTTACGTACAAAAAGGCCCAAGAAAATGTACGGATTGGAACCCACCTGAATCACATTCCTCAAAGTGTAGTTCAAATATGCCAAAGTACACATCTAAACATATACTCTGAGAGATGTTGAAGGAAGAAAAATGTACATTGATATATGCGTTAAAATCCTGATAGGACCCTATTAGGACTACTCCAGAAAAAGTGAAATTCTGTATTAGGGATGGGCACAAATCAGCAGTCTGTGCTGGTTCGGCAGATGGTCGAACGAGTGTTTAGCCATTTGGTGCCCTGACTCCTCAGGCAGGCAGCCACTCGGGGCAGCACCCAGAGGAGGCAGGGCAGGGAAGCTGGGATGCTGCTTCTGAGCAGCACCCACCAAAGAGGGCAGGGCACTGAACCACGGGATAGCTGCTTGGCCATTCCCCGAACTGCCACGAACCACCAAAGTTCGTACCTATCTCTCGTTGTGATGATAAATCACAGTTTACTGTATTAATAAAGTGCCAGTTGTGTGCCTGGTTTATAGGACTGGTATGCAACCAATTACAAGACCAGCACCAAGTTAATTAGCTGCAATTGACCGCCACAGTTTATGGGACTTCACTTGTTCTTGAATGAAATCCTAATAGGATTCTAGCCAGTATTCAAATATACCCTTTGGAAGAGTTTTATTTTTAAAAGCCAATCTAAGAAGGAACCTATTAGCCTATTTTGGGAAAAGCTAGAACAAAATAAACACCAAACCAATGGTCCAGGGGCACCCTGGAGATTAATAAATGCATGTCAGTGTGAGTTTATGAGGATCACAGGCAATTTCTTAGTTTTAAAAGTTGCATAATATTTTTTTTTGCTTTTGCTATTGTTTAAACATGACGGGGTAAGAGGAACACAGAATGGAATGTACATCAAGAGACGTTGAAAAGACAAAAGCTGGATTTTCCCCTCCTTACTTAAAACTAGCCCTCAGCTGATGCATCCTGAGGGCTGGAAGTAGACACGCTGGACTCAAAACCACCCTTCCCAACCCAGACCGGGGCCTCCTGTCCAGTTGCTTTCTGTGTTTCGAGATGCTCTCTCTCTCTCTCTCATGGAGGCAAACACAGCCTCATTCATTCCCCCATTGGGAGAGCGAGAAACCTACCTCACTTTTTCCATAAGTCTAAAAAACATTTAGCAGCAGCAGCAGCAGCAGAGAGAGGGGGCAGGCCTCAAAGACCCAGAAGACGAGAGGAAAGGAAACCAGAGGAATCTTGGCAGGGAGAAAGAGCAGAAGATAAGTCAGAGAAGAAAATATCCTCTTAAGTGGTGTGGGAGACGGTGTCTTGCCAGCCTTGTGGGAAAGATTTCAGGTGTCCAGTCAAAGTGGATGAGGCTGAGCATGGGTGGGTAAGGTCAGGGTAGCTTGCAGCTCTCCTGGACTGCCAGAAATACAAACATGTGGTTCCTAAATCAAACCTGGAGGCAAAAAATATTGAAACTGAGGCTGTTCTTCTCGGGGCACATCCTGAGATAGCAGGATTCTCTGGAAAAGACAATCGTGCTGGGAAAAGTGGAAAGCAGCAGGAGAAGAGGAAGACCCAACACGAGATGGACTGATTCCCTAAAGCCACAGGTTTGAGTCAACAGGAGCCTGGCAGGGCTTTTGAGGATGGGACATTTTGGAGATCGCTCATTCATAGGATTGTCAGCGATGGTTTGATGGCACATAACAACAAGAAGATTTAGATGCTGTGGCTTTTACGACAGAAATGGAGACAGGTCTCCATGTTCCGCGTGGCAGCTTGATAGGACTTCTCTGTAGGTTAGGAGAAGGTATCGGGCAGCCGCTGTGTGTCGAGTTATTTCTTGGCTTGCAAAATAGGGATATATAGAGCTGGGAGATGACAGACAGGCTGGCTTAGCCTAAAAGTGGCTGCTAGGGTCATGCCAGCTCTCACACCACCAGCTGAAGATGTAGGGATCTGCTCTGGTTCTCCAGGTGGGGCGACCCATCTCGAGATGGGCAGTGTTGGAAGAGGAGAAGGTCCGGGTTTTAGGTGAGAAGGGGCATCAAAATGTGGGCACCCATCTCCATCCATTCCCAGGCAGTGGTTAGAGATCTGAGGTTTTCTGGTGTCTCTTTGATAGATGTTGCTAGACAGTTCCCGGAACTGATGTCGGGCAACCATCAGAGTGAAACTCTGAAGTTTTACTCATGAGTAAGGCCTTTGGCTCAGGGCACAAGTTCAAGCAGGAGTTAGAGGGCGGTAGGGAGGCTACAGCAGATGGCCTACAATGTTTCTCTGGGAAAAAAATGGTTTCTGTTGAGAGGAGAGGGGAGGAAGCTTGGTCAAGATCAAGGAGGTGGACGTTCTGGGCTGTTGATCTCTCATGCTTTCTTCATCTTCTCTGCTTTCCTCCTAGGAGGAACTGACAGCTTCTGGGAAGGATGGTGTGAGGGGTGATCAAGGGAAAACGGTGAGTGGTTTGAGGAAACATTGATGGCAGTCCTTGATAATGGGTGCCTTCCAGGTAGGGGAGGAAGCTTGGTCAAGATCAAGGAGGTGGACGTTCTGGGCTGTTGATCTCTCATGCTTTCTTCATCTTCTCTGCTTTCCTCCTAGGAGGAACTGACAGCTTCTGGGAAGGATGGTGTGAGGGGTGATCAAGGGAAAACGGTGAGTGGTTTGAGGAAACATTGATGGCAGTCCTTGATAATGGGTGCCTTCCAGGTAGGTTAGACGGCAAAGCCCAGGAGCATACACTCGGACAAATCTTATTTATCAGATCTGAAATATTTGTCATGCCTTGATAGGAGAGCGACCATAGCAGGGTGGTTAAGACATGTTCTGAGCTAGGAGTCAAAAAAGACCCACCTCTCCTGTCCTTTGTCTTCTTCTTCTTCTTCTTCTTCTTCTTCTTCTTCTTCTTCTTCTTCTTCTTCTTCTTCTTCTTCTTCTTCTTCTTCTTCTTCTTCTTCTTCTTCTTCTTCTTCTTCTTCTTCTTCTCTTTCTCTCTCTCTCTCTCTCTCTCTCATTGGCTTCAAACCTGCTGATGGCTCTACGATGCCCTCAGCAATAGGTGGAGGATAAAGCTGCCCAGACCTCACAAGTTGTTGTAAGCATTGTTGTGAAGCTGGTGTGATAAGATAGAGAGGTCTGACTGAGGGAGCGTGTTCAGTTTGACTCCCTCAACTTTGACAGTTTCAGATGGAAGTACCGCATGCAAAAAAAACCCCACTTTTCACAGGATGCTTTATTTCATGTTTATAGAAATATCAGCCTGTGAAAAATTCACACCTTAGGGTGATCCAATTCAGTAGAGTTTCTCAAGGACGTGGGTGGCGCTGCGGGTTAAACCGCAGAAGCCCCTGTGCTGCAAGATCAGAAGACTTGCAGTCGTAAGATCGAATCTACATGATGGAGTGAGCTCCCGTCGCTTGTCCCAGCTCCTGCCAACCTGGCCGTTCAAAAGCATGTAAAATATGCAAGTAGATAAAAAGGTACCACTTAGATGGGAAGGTAACAGCGTTCCGTATCTAGTCGCGCTGGCCACGTGACCACGGAAATTGTCTATGGACAAACGCTGGCTCTACGTCTTGGAGATGGGGATGAGCACCACGCCCTAGAGTCAGACACGACTGGACAAAAACTGTCAAGGGGAGCCTTTACCTTTCTCAAGGAACCACCGCCTGTCCACCTGCAGTTTATTTCAGTGCTGTATATTCCAGACATTCTGGGGCTCAGAATGAAAACCGTCCTTGTTCCTGCCGAGCGCCCAGCACTTAAGGCTTCACTGATGCTAATCCTTTCCTGGAAAGCTGCTAGTAAACAGGAGCTTGTGAGTGCTTCTTTGTACTAAGCTACCCATGCTTGAAAGCAAGCAAGCAAATTCTTGTGTGCCCTGGGGGCTCAGGTACTGAATCAGGAATGATAACATTCACGGTAGACCATCAGTATTCCAATTCTCCATTCCAACTGCAACAGCCACGGCAACCCATAAGCAAGTTGAGTGGCTGACATGGATATTTTAACACCTTACCACCCCCTGAAGCTATTAAATGTCTCGTTCTGTCCATAATTTCAGGTGGAGGGAGATGCAGAGGTCCAGAAGTTGCACACCCTTAGAAAGCTTCACTCACTCCCATAGCTCATGTTACAAATTTTTCTTACAAAAATTACACTCCTTTTTTTAATATTATGCCCTCTAGTGGCCAAAAATATATATATTTTAAAAAAAACTGGGATAGGATCAGGGGAGCAGGGTATCTTTCAAAACATAGCAACATTTCCCCTTGTCCTGCTAGACAGCACCTAAAAAGAGAACATTTGTGTATGTGTAGTAAGAATTAAAAAATGC